CAGATCTGGTGATGATCAAGATACAAAAGAAAATAAACTACTATAACATATCAGAAGATAATCCTCCCCAGCAATCATGCTTCTTGCTCTATGTCTGAGCCTCCTTAAGCATCGCCTTCGTATCTGGATGTTTTGGTCTGACAACCAATTCTCTGATGAGGATGTCCCTTCTGCGTATCACATCCCAGAGACAATGGCAATAATCTTCCCAAGCATCTTCGCCAAAGACATCTTCCAGCCTGAGTTTCTTCACATTCACCCGGATCTTGAGCTCTTCAAGTGTTGATAGAGTTTCTTGGAGTTTCTGCTCAATAGTGTACCTACGGATGATTCTACCATTACTTCTTTCTCCTTGACCTTGAGTAACGCCTTCAGCTTATCAACCTGCGTACGAAGCTGGTCCTCCCTGTTCTTGTTGGTGGTCAAAGTAGAATTCCATTGCTCATTGAATTTGGATATCTCCAGATACGCCTGTCTAAATCCTCCTTCTTGTGCTTCAAAATGCTGCAGGTGCTCTTTAGATTCTGACCGATCTGCTCTCGCATCCTGGTCTGCTCAGCTAGCTCTTTCGCCAGCTTGGTCAATGATTCTGACTTCGTCTTGGCCAAATAAACAGCTTCACCTTTATCATGCTTCAGCAGACTAATCTCCTGTTTTAACTCTTCATTCTCTTTGCGTAGCTCTTCCTTCTCTTCCCAAAGCTTGTTGTATCTAAGGATCTCAATCATTGTAGGCTCTTCAACCATCAGGGGATACAATGGTTCTTCAACAGGAAACGACAATGATACCCTTCCAACTCTCTTCTAAACCCATTCCAAGTAAGGGTAATAAGCTCTGCAATCACCTTTGCCCAAAGAAAGCTTTCCCTTTTTATGAACTCTTCTCCATGCTTCTTCTATTCTGGATAGAATATCATAATCATCTACACCAGTGAAGTACAGAAATTTCTGCACTTCCTCCTCTTTTGGGGGTCCCCTCAAAGCATAACCAAATTGGCTGACAACAAGAGAAGGATTATAATTGATTCCCCCTTTTCTTCCTATCAAGGGTACATTGGGAAAGCTCCCACAACTAAAGATAATCTCAATGCCAAGCAGATCTCGGTTGAACCAGATAATATCCTTAGTTGTTAAATCCATAAGCCTTTTTGACCATTCAGACGTAACCCCGATATCAACAAAAGCTCCGACGCGAGGAAGGTGATCAACAAACCACTTGTGAAAAAGCAGTGTATAGCAAGAAATAGTTTTTCCTCTCCTCTTTTCATTTTTGTAGTGTATTGAATGATACAAATCTCCTAAGAGAATGGGTACATAGTTTTTTGAAATGAAGATGCCGAAAGCGTCCATGTCAATGAAGTCTGGTATATTGGAAAACAAAATAATCCCATATATACATAGAGCCAGAACAGTGCTGAAAACCCCCCAACAACCTTCTTTGGCATACTTCTGGGCTTTACCCACCAAGAAAGACAAGATGAAGTTCTTTGGTTCAAACACGTTGATACTAAAGCTAAAATTCTTGATCCTTCTTTGATTTGTAATAGCTCAAAATATTTGCTTTGGTGGCGTAATCTTTAGGTTGCTCTTGCTTCGCGGGGATTAGATTCCAAGTGGTTTGCAAATGGAATTTCATGTAAAGTTGGGAATGGAACAGATGTACACTTTTGGAGGGACAACTGGCTAGGTTACGATCATCTTCTAAAACAATCTCCTTCTTTGTTTTCTTTTGTGCGTGAACTTAGGGAGCATCTTTGCGTTTGGGGTATGTGATTGGAAGGCCGTTGGAGTTGGAATCTTGGTTTTGATTCCCCAGAGTTACCAAATCATCTCAAGGAGATTGGATATCCCTTCTCAACATCTTGCATCCTTTTTTTTACTAATTCAATTGTAGCGGATGCGCTCGTTTGGTGGCCTAGCCCTTTTGGTTTTTCTGTAAAACCTTCTTATTGTAGGTTGTTTTCTCTACTAAGCTGAGACTTTTTCCCTGGTAGTGATTTGAAGAAATCTCACATGCTTTTAATGGAAATCAAACCTTCCAAGTAACATTCAGGTGTTTGTTTTGAAGCTTTTGTTGGGAAGGCTTCAAACGAGGGATGAGTTAGTCAAAATGATGTTATTTTGGGTGCCCTTAATCTTGTTTTCCCTTTATGCCTAAGACCAGAAAAAACTCACCATCATCTTTTCTTCTCTTGTATTGTTACTGCCAAGGTTTGAAATTTTATCACATATTAGTTAGGAATTCACATGTCTCCCCCTTTCTTTCTTCCACGGATCACCTCTTATACTTTGACTCGGCATTGTGTGGCAAGGTTAAAAGTAGTTACAGGCTCCTTCTGTGGTTACTTGTGGTGAGATCGATTTGGTTAATTAGGAATGATACATTGTTCAAAGGAGGGATGAAAGGATCTTTTAAAATTGTTTGTCTAGCAAAACATTTAGCTTGGGATTGGTTTGATGTTAGGGTCAAGGGCCACCTAAATTGTTTGAAATCAAACTGGTTGAAGGAACTTCTTGCTTTTACGAGCTAGTTCCCACACCTTCGGGTCTTGCTTGCTTCTTGTTGTCTGGAAGGTTCGATTGCATTACTTTTATTATATTCTCTATGTTTTTTGTTGTTGTCTAGTTTTTGTTTTAGTCTTTGTCTTGTTGCTTGTGTGATCTTTTTTTTTTTTTTGAAAAGCCCTTACTTATATGATCTAATGTTGGTTCTTTGAAGATTTTGCTTCATTTTGTTTAGATTTCGTTTATATGATCTGTTTGTAGACTAGTCAGCATAGAATTTTGACATTTGCTGACGTGGCAATCCAAATGTCATTTTATTTTATTTTTATTTTTTATTTTAAATTCACATAGTTTTTTTTTATTTAATTTTTTTCCTTTTTTTTAAAATTTTAAATTTTATAACTTTTTAGATAAGAAAACATGCAAATACTCAAAAACTTAACATTGACATTTGAGAGTTTAGCCCACATCCTTCACATGAAACATCCAACGCTCAATCACTAGATATTTTGTTTTGAAAATTAATACCACCACTTTTATTTATAACATGTTTGTTTTACAATATTTAACCCTTAATAAAATTATCTATTAACTCTAAATAAATATTTAACACTTTAATTATAAACTATTATTATGTAAAATATTAAATAAATATCATGTAATATAAAACAAATACATATTTGTGTAAATTTGTTATGTATTGCATTATACTTACATAACTAATATAAATTTGTCATGTAAATGTATTACATGATATTTACATAACTAATATAAATTTGTTATGTAAATGTATTATGTATTATATTACATGATATTTACATAATTAATATAAATTTGCAAACTATTAACCCTAAATAATTATTTAATATTTAATTATAAACTATTATTATGTAAAATATTAAATAAATGTCATGCACTACATTTACATAACAAATTTATATTAGTTAAACTATAAATTAATTATAAACTACTTTATTTTTATTTATAAATTAATATTTCATAAATTATTAAATAATTATTTAGGGTTAATAGTTTCTAATTTTTTACTAGTTATGTAAATATCATATAATATAATACATCATATAAATTTACAAATTTCATATGTAGTTAACCCATTTATTAATTACATAAAAAATATTTTTAATTTAATAGAGTAAATAAATACTATGTGATTAATTCATTTATAATTATACGTTATAAATAAAGTTTGTGGAGTATATTTTATTTTGTATCGTGAGGATATAATACTAGACTTATTCCTTTTATAATGAAACAATGAGATATATCACACACTATATATGGCTGGTGGTACCTAAAAAAAACTAGTAACGTGACACAAACGTTTTGTTGACATTTACCACTTTGTTAATGCATATGGTTGGATGTTTTAACAATGCCGTGGACATTTTGAGGACTACCCAATTCTATGTGTCTATATGTTAGCCCTTTGGACCAAAATACATTTCTCAAATTAACCAATATTTTACCCAGAGAAGTCGTAATGTAGTGGGTAGGGTAGCTAACTGAAAGTTACAATTGCTTTTATATATATATATATATATATATATATATATATATATATATATATATATATATATATATATATATATATATATATATATATATATATATATATATATATATATATATATATATATATATATATATATATATATATATATATATATATATATATATATATATATATATATATATATATATTTTTCAATAAATCTATAAAAAAAAGTTTAAAAATGAGAAGTTTAGGGGTTGCATAAAAGGATCAGTTTGTTATAAGTTTAAAAATATATTTTTTTAATTATTTTTATGAAAATGTTTTTTAAAATATTATAATTTTTTTTAATTTATTTTTTGATATCAAAATACTAATTTTGATATTATATAATATAAACATACATTGAAGATTAAAATATAATTGAAGTCATAATTTTTTTTTAAAAGATATATTTTAAAATTGATTTTTATGAAAAATTATTTAAAATAATTTTAAAATTAAGTGATTTTTTAAATTGATATATATATATATATATATATATATATATATATATATATATATATATATATATATATATATATATATATATATATATATATATATATATATATATATATATATATATATTAGAAACTCTTTAAATTAATAATGTTAGGACCAGAGAAACTTATTAATTTAGAGAGTTATTAATTTATCAATAAATTAATAATTATTAATTTAAAGAGTTTTTAAGTAATTATACTGTACATACTAAACAAAAAGGAAAATTAGTCTATGCCTCTTAGAATTACGTTGCAGCGAACCTTGAGACTCAACGTAAATTAGTAACTATTGTGTTCATATGCATTGGAAATCAATAATGACTTTTGAAGTCCAGTAATGTAAATAAGAGGAACAAATGTATTCAATTTATTTTTAAGCAAGTTTGCCATATATAAATTACATGTATGTGTTAGAGTATTCAAACCATATCTCACAAAATGGCTTCTCATCTAAAAGGTGTTGCAAAATCAACTATGTCAGGTCAAATACGTAAGGAGTTGTGTGAGTACAAGAGAGATGATCCTACAAGCACACAAAAAGACTTGCAGAGATGGCTTGAGGAAAAATTTCAGTTGAAAGTTAGTCAAGGAACAATATCAAACACACTAAACGGTCAGATGATTATCTCTCTGCTAAAATAGAATAGGGAAGAGCAGAGATCAAAAGACACAAACCAACAAAATATCCTGACATGGAGAAGGTTGTTTATGAGTGATTTCTCCAGCATCAAGAACGTGTGAATATCATAGGAGAATTAATTTTGCAGAAGGCTAGAGATACAATGAAACTCATGTACCCTCATGATTATTCAGATTTTAACTTCTCTATAGGATGGCTTGGGAAATTCAAGAACCGACATGGCATAAAGTTATTTCGTTGTTTTGGCAAGAGTGAGTCTGTTGATGTACAAGACATGAAGCAGAAATTGGTATCGATTCGGGAGAAAATTGATCAGTTCCTATAAAAGATGTTTTCAATATGGATGAAACTGGGTTGTTTTATAGGCTACGAGTTGAGCATTCACTGGCAACAACAAAACTTGAAGGAAGAAAATAAGATAAATAAAGTTTGACGGTAGTTATTTGTTGCAATAAAGATGGCTCTGAAAAAATCCCTCTATGGATTATTGGGAAATATGCAAAGCCTCGTTGCTTCAAGAATGTCAACATGAATAGCTTGGATTGTCAGTATCGAGCTAACAAAAAAGCATGGATGAATATTGTGCTTTTTGATGAATATGTTCGTTCATTTGACCAAATGATGCATGGTAGAAGAGTTCTGCTTGTGGTGGATAATTGTCCAGCACATCCAAGAAATATTGAAGGGATAAGAAACGTTGAGTTGTTCTTCTTGCCACCCAACATGACATCAAAGGTTCAACCTTGCGATGTTGGGATAATAAGAGCTTTCAAGAAGGATTACCGTAGAAGGTTTTACCGCAAAATATTGGAAAGTTATAAGGTGGGACAATTTGATCCAGGGAAGATAAATGTCCTTGATGCTATCAATTTGGCAATCCCAGCTTGGACGATAGATGTTCGAAAAAAACAATAGCGAATTGCTTCCGACACTTTAAAACTCGTTCAACTAGTGACGTTGCAAGAAATTTGGATGAATCCACTTTTGATAAAGAAACTCAAGACCTCGAGACTATGATCAATCAATGTGGCTATCGTAATAAGATGGATATCGACAATCTAATGAACTACCCAGGTGAAAATGAAGCATGTTCGGAGGTTCAGAGTTTAGAAGATATTGTGGGTACTATCATTGAGAACAATGCAGAGGATGGCGGCGAAGATGATACGATGTCTTTGGAGCCTATTACGCGAAAGGAAGCACTTATAGCGTCGAACACTCTTCACAATTTTATGATACAATACAAAAATACAACACCTAAGCTATTGGATGTAATAAGAAAAGTTAGAGATGAACTCCAAATAGACTTGAACTTTAAAGGAAAACAGACAACTATTGAATCATATTTCAATAGAGTGTAATATATATTTTTTTTTCAATTTCTATAAATTATTAATTTATGATTTTCTTGGGACCGAAAATTATAAAGGGATCTCCCGAAAAATTATTATCTTATTATTTTATCGAGTTTTTAAATTTTTCACATTGGCCCAAATCGGGACCGATTTATTATTTTAAATATATATATATATATATATATATATATATATATATATATATATATATATATATATATATATATATATATATATATATATATATATATATATATATATATATATATATATATATATATATATATATATATATATATATATATATATATATATATATATATATATATATATATATATATACTAGTTTTTCAATAAATAAATAAAAATGATAAGTTTAGTCAAACTGTAAATGAAAGCTAAGGGATTGCATATAAAGGACCGGTTTGTTTTAATTTTAAAAATACATTTCGGTTTGTTTTAATTTTAAAAATACGTTTTTTTTTTAACTTTATGAATTTTTTTCTAGAATATTATAAATTTTTTTAATTTGTTTTTTAAAATTGAAATACTAATTTTAATATTTTATATCATAAACATACATTATTGAAGATTAAAATATAATTTAAATCATAATTTTTTTAAAAAAATTTATATTTTAAAAATAATTTTTATGAAAAACTATTTGAAATAGTTTTAAAATTAAGTGGTTTTTTCAAAATTGACATTTCAAAAAGGTTTTAATAAAATAATAAAATACCTAAAATAACATTTTAAGAATAAATATCCAAACTAAAAACGTTCATTTGAAGCTTTTATGAAGAAAAAAAATTATAATTTTTAAAATATATATATATATATATATATATATATATATATATATATATATATATATATATATATATATATATATATATATATATATATATATATGTAACACTATAATTTAAAAAAAACTAAAACAAATAGGCTCAAATATGAACTTGTTAATATATTTTAAAATTGTTCACGGTATAGAATGTCAGACTAAAATTAAATTCGTCTTAACTCTCTATTTACTTCAAAGAGATCTCATTAACTCTAAAGTTTTGTTTTAAAGCTTGGAGGAGAAGAGAGTGGAAGACTATAAAGAAACAAAAAAGAAAGAAATGAAGGGAAAATAAAGGGATTTAAGTCGGAAAGGGTTTGAAGACTTTGGTTTTATTCATAATACAAAATTCTTCTAATTTGGAAGAGTTTGGAATTTTTATTAAAGATGAGTTTATTAGGGTTTTCATAAATTTTTCAAATATATTTTATACTGTTATAATATTCTAAAAATTAAAAATATAATAATGATAAACACTCTTTTATCATTCTATACAAAATTATTCTTTCAAAAATGTCAAATATTTCTTTAGATTTTTTTTAAAAAAATTGTTTTCAGAAGCTTTCATTTTTCCTCCCCTCCAAACTCTCAAACAAAGCCTAAAAGTGAATCTAAATTTTTAAGATAAAATCAACTCATAACCTATCCACCTAAACACATTATACTATAAGGATGTCGTAATATCTCAAAAGACAAAAAAGTGTCTAGATGACTCTCTAAAACTCTGACACGTACAAAATTTCTTTGAGTAAAATTCTTAAAAATGATCATGATTTAGGGATGAATTGACTACCTCATATAGTGTAAAACTTTTGATCTTTAAAATGGATTGATCCCAAGTGCAGCACAAATAGACATGCACCTACTTAGTTCACACGAACACAATCAGCAACAAGGAATTTTTTCCGTATGTATTGCTAGTTGTGAACAAATGTAAGGCTTAGAGAGAACATGAACTCAAAGTCCTTGTGTGGGCATGGTTTTGAGAATACGTGAATTAGTGACTCTCATTTTAGTATAAGGGTTCTTTTAATATAACAATTTATGTGTGTCATAGTTTATGGTGTATAGTATTTCTTTAATTAGCATAGGTGCATCATAAAAAGGGACCACTGAATCATAAAAGAATCTTATTTATTTAATCTCTCGTTTATATGTCCTTACGTGAGTGACTCTATAGGTTCTTGTAATATTGAAAATAATATTAAAATTTTTAATTAATATTATAAAGCGTTTCTAGCAACACATCACTCATATTCAAGTGACGATAATGTCATTTGATCTGACATAATTTTTATGTGATAATAATCATGTGTATATTTACCATGTTGCCCTTATATATATAACATATAATAGTTTGTGTCACATTTGTATAGTCCAATATTATATTCTTTGATATTCAAATATACTTAGGATGCATTTAACTTGTAAAAGGGTAAGTATTGGACGGAACACCGAGTACAAACCTTTGAAGTAATGGACAATTTTTTATCTTGTATGATGTTTGATGAATAATGGACAAGATAAATAAAATTTACTAAAATTCTCTTTATAAATGTAAATATTAATATAGGGGAGAGAGAGAGGGGGAGAGAGAGAGAGAGATAGAGAGAGAGAGAGAGGGAGAGAGAGAGAGAGAGAGAGAGAGTGTGTGTGTGTGTGTGTGTGAGTGTGTGTGTATGTGCGCGCGTGTGTGCGCGCGTGTGTGTGTGTGTATTTTTAATTAACAATGGTATTTTTGTATTTTAAATAATTTGTACAAGGAACAAAAGGTTATTTTCATGTTATAAATATTAGTACAAGAGAAAGAATAAAAATAGTTTTAATAGAAAATAAAATGGTATTTTTGTATTTTAAGTATTTTATACTAAGGATAAAATTGTATTTATGTATTTTTCGTATAAATATTGGTGTGTGTGTGTGTGTGTGTGTGTGTGTGTGTGTGTGTGTGTGTGTGTGTGTGTGTGTGAGAGAGAGAGATGTTGGAAATTGAACCACAACCTATGGAGAATTTCACTCAATCAATCTTGATCTCAAGATTATTTCAACTCATGTAATGACAATGAAAGAAAAGTTTAGAAAAAAGAAAGTAAACGTTGGAGAAGAAGAAGATGAACAATTTTCTGCAGAAAACTCTCTGCCCATAAACTGTGAATTACAAAAAATTATGAGATGAGATATGTTTACAAAATAAGGGATTCTCCCTATGTATAGATTTAGGTTAGCTTGCACCCCAAGCCAAAGTGCAAACTATAAAAGCCCAAAAATATCTAATATAATATTCCTAAATCAAATCTGATCTTTCTAAATCTAATCTAATCTTTCTAAAATAATGAATTACATATTTAACACACCACCTAATTCATTGTGTCTAAACTATCTACATTCATCATAAACCTTAGCTTCATGAACACTTCAACTGGCACTCCCTTCGTCATGATGTCTGCAATCTGATTCTTAGTTTTGAAGTATTCCAAGTTCATCTTCCCTTTTGCTACCTGCTCTCGAAGATAATGGAATCTCATTTCGATCTGCTTGCTTCGATTGTGTGATATTGGATTCTTTGCCAAGTTGATAGCTGACATGTTGTCGATCTTCATGGTAATTGCTCAATGACTCTTTGTTGTGATCTATTCGACCAGATTCACCATCTAAGTTGCTTGACATGCATAAAGAGAAGTAGCTATATATTATGCTTCGCATGATGATAATGCCACTACTAGCTCCTTTCTCGAACTCTAAGGAACTGGTGCACCACCTAGCATAAACACACAGCCAGGTGTGGATTTTTTATCCTTAGCATCACTACACCAACTAGAGTCGGTGTCTTTTACTAACTTGCATTATTTTTCTTCATCAGCTGCAGGAAACAAAATGCCATAGTCGAGAGTCCCTTTCAGATACCTCAGTATCCTCCTCGCCGCTGCTAGGTGTGATACATTTGGCTTCTGCATGAATCTAATTACCATACCTACACTATTTTCTAAGTCAGACCTTGTGTGACAAAGGTATTGAAGTGACCCAATAAGTCTTCTATATTGGGTTTGGTCGACATCATCTTCATCTGAATCCTTTAACAGTTGCAATCTGGTCTCAGTTAGAGTCAAAGTTGGGTTGCAATCTTGCATCTCAAATCTCTTGAGTATTTTGTCTGCATATCTTCTTTGGTGCACCATCAATCCTCTACTACTCTTCTAGAATTCAATGCCAAGGAAATATGAGAATTTCCCAAGTCTGACATTTCAAACTCCTCACTCAAGTTATGTTTGAAGTCTTCGATCTCTTTCTTGCAACTTCCTGTTATCAACAGGTCATCGACATAGAGGTATAGTATAAGTAGTTCACTACTGCTTCTTCTTACGTGCACTCCATGCTCAGTCGTTCACTTCACAAATTCCTTCTTCCTTAAGAAGCTGTCGATTTTCTTATTCCAAGCTCTTGGAGCTTGCTTAAGTCCATACATGGCTTTATGCATCCTGTACACCTTTCTTTCCTTGCCTCGTTTCATAAACCCAGCTGGTTGTACAACATAATCTTCTTTGTCTAAGGGTGCACTAAAGAATGCACACTTCACGTCCATCTGACATGTGTGTCAATTGTTCATATTTGCTAGACCAACAACCAATCTGATTGTTTTGATCCTAGCAACAGGTACAAAAACTTCGTCAAAGTCGATTCCTTCCTTTTGAAGAAATCCTTTCGCCATAAGTCTTGCCTTGTGTTGAGTTACTTTTCCTTTAGGATTCACCATCACCTTGTAAACCCACTTCACATCAATTTCCTTCTTGCCTTGAGGAAAATCGACTAGTGACTAGGTGTTGTTGACTTCGATGAGGTCTAGCTCCTCATTCATTGCTTTCACCCACTTCGAATATTTCAATGCCTCAGCTGCATTGACTGGTTCGACATTTGCGTAGAAAGCATAATATACTAGATCACCTTCTTCCTAGACCACATCATCTGATGTAATCACACATTCTTGCGACCTTGCAGACACGTATCTTATTCATCGAGGTCTGCTTAGGCCAACTTCATCTCTAACTTGTTCTTGTCGAACTTCACTTTCAACTTCAGTGGTTAGTTCTTCAGAAGATATTCTCACTGAATCCTTCTTGACATTCTCAGTTTAATATCATTCTTTAACCCCATCTATGATCAC